TTATTGAAAATTTTGTGTTAGGGGTTAACGGTTGCATAGCAACGGTCGCCACGAAAATCGCAAAATAATACTGAAAATTTTGTGTTAGGGGTTAACGGTTGCATAGCAACGGTCGCTAGGCAACGAAAATCGCAAAATAATTTTATTGTAAATTTTGTGTTAGGGGTTAACGGTTGCATAGCAACGGTCGCTAGGCAACGAAAATCGCAAAATAATTTTACTGAAAATTTTGTATTTGAGGTTAGAGGTTACAGAGTAACGGTCGCTAGGCAACGAAAATCGCAAAATAATACTGAAAATTTTGTGTTAGGGGTTAACGGTTGCATAGCAACGGTCGCTAGGCAACGAAAATCGCAAAATAATACTGAAAATTTTGTGTTAGGGGTTAACGGTTGCATAGCAACGGTCGCTAGGCAACGAAAATCGCAAAATAATACTGAAAATTTTGTGTTAGAGGTTACATAGCAACGGTCGCTAGGCAACCAAAATCGCAAAATAATTTTATTGAAAATTTTGTGTTAGGGGTCAACGGTTGCATAGCAACGGTCGCTAGGCAACGAAAATCGCAAAATAATTTTATTGAAAATTTTGTGTTAGGGGTTAACGGTTGCATAGCAACGGTCGCTAGGCAACGAAAATCGCAAAATAATTTTACTGAAAATTTTGTATTTGAGGTTAGAGGTTACAGAGTAACGGTCGCTAGGCAACGAAAATCGCAAAATAATACTGAAAATTTTGTGTTAGGGGTTAACGGTTGCATAGCAACGGTCGCTAGGCAACGAAAATCGCAAAATAATACTGAAAATTTTGTGTTAGGGGTTAACGGTTGCATAGCAACGGTCGCTAGGCAACGAAAATCGCAAAATAATACTGAAAATTTTGTGTTAGAGGTTACATAGCAACGGTCGCTAGGCAACCAAAATCGCAAAATAATTTTATTGAAAATTTTGTGTTAGGGGTTAACGGTTGCATAGCAACGGTCGCTAGGCAACCAAAATCGCAAAATAATTTTATTGAAAATTTTGTGTTAGGGGTTAACGGTTGCATAGCAACGGTCGCTAGGCAACGAAAATCGCAAAATAATTTTACTGAAAATTTTGTATTTGAGGTTAGAGGTTACATAGCAACGGTCGCTAGGCAACGAAAATCGCAAAATAATACTGAAAATTTTGTGTTAGGGGTTCTTCATACTTCTACTTCGCTCTCTCCCTCTCACACCATCACCCACTCTCCTTCCATCGGCGCATTCAGGGTGCGCCGGGGGACTCGCACACTGAATCTTCCCGTTTTTCAACCGGGGTCGACCCAGGAGTGGTCGTCGCGTGAAACCCTCACCCATATGGTTTCCCTTCTCCCATTTTCAGCGACGGTGGCGCAGGTTCGCAAACTCCACACATTCCCCTCTTTCCTGTAAACCCGCTGCGGGAACCCTAGGAGCATACCTAGGGTCCCAAATTCGAACGGATGTGATTCCGTTCCTCGATCCACTGTTTTGCGTTTTGTGTCCGGAGGCATGAATCGAACTCGGTACCCTTTTGGTACGAAGCCATCACTCTACCATTTACGCCAGCACAGGCCACATGGATTCTGCTTTTTTCCGCCTCATGACTTGTTAGTTTGTTATATCTAAATATTAACTTTGTGTTATTCAACAATAAACGAATACCACAACGTTAGTCGTACTGCTGAATTCCGTTTTATGGCTGGAGGTATGATTCGAACTCGGTACCCTTTTGTTACGAAGCCATCACTCTACCAATTACGCCAGCACAGGCCACATGGACTCTGCTTTTTTCGGCCTCATGACTTGTTAGTTTGTTATATCTAAATATTAACTTTGTGTTATTTAACAATAAACGAATACCACAACGTTAGTCGTACTGCTGAATTCCGTTTTATGGCTGGAGGTATGATTCGAACTCGGTACCCTTTTGGTACGAAGCTGTCACTCTACCAATTACGCAGCACAGGCCACATGGACTCTGCTTTTTTCGGCCTCGTGACTTGTTAGTTTGTTATATCTAAATATTAACTTTGTGTTATTCAATAATAAACGAATACCACAACGTTAGTCGTACTGCTGAATTCCATTTTATGGCTGGAGGTATGATTCGAACTCGGTAGCCTTTTGGTACGAAGCCATCACTCTACCAAATACGCCAACACAAGCCATACCAACCCAAGTTTTTTTTGGCCATATGACGTGTTAGTTTATCTTCGTTTAAAATATACAATATCACCTACTTTGTAACGGTTTACTAATGTGATCGGCGTGGCGTCGCCCGTTAGGAGGTGGGAGTCGATGGAACAGGGTAGCAGGTTCGAGACGTAGTAAGGTAAGCGAGGTAAGCGTATCAGTTGTTAACATAGATATAAGCATTAGGTAAGGTAGTGTAAAGGAAAGCGATAGGAGCGTGGAGGTGGTAGGAATGTTAATTATAATTGATGTAATAATTACGTCAATAAACGTAAAATATTAAAGATATATTAATAATAATGCGGATGTCCTTATGCAAAAAGAACATAGTTGAAAACTTCATTTTTATTGTACAAGTCCAAAGTTAAGTAAAACTGACCAATATTTAAAGTATTCTAATTAAAATGAACTAATTAACACTTTGAATAATAGTATAGATTAAAGCGAGTGAAAGATATTAATATTTTTGACATGTTTGAAATGAGTGAAAAACCATAGATTAGTCTATTTAAAATGGTCAAAGTCATAACTACATTAACTTTATTGATCAACCTCGTCGAAGTCTGAGTCGAAGAATGAGTATATTAATGTTTATATAAACATCAGCAAATATGCTTATGTTTATAATACTTGTACCAGTACGGTGTGTTTCTAATATATATCACTGAAAATGGTGTGAAATGAAACACTCCTCCCATGGATTTGTGAAAAAAATTTTGGGCAAAAAAATTTTTGGTAAAAAAAAATTTGGGCATTTCGAAGCGTGCGGTATGCATCAATGCGGAATGCATTTATGTTTGGCGCCGTCTCGTTATGTTTAATAATAACTGGCAGAATGACTAGTATTTCATCGTGTATAATGAAAGATGTAATGGACTAGCGAGTTAAAAGAATCTTGTTGAAAATGTCAGGGTAGCACGATCGAGACATGAATGAAACTTAAAGAAAAAAGGTTCATTCATGTCTTGATCATGCTACCCTGACATTTTCAACCAGATCCTTTTAACCCGCTAGTCCATTACAACTTTCATTAGGGTATTATCATAAACAATCTTATACATGGAAAGAAACATAATTATTTAGAAACATAATTATTTTTCTTTTTATTATCTAGGTGACTGTTTGAAAAGCGTTTTGTTATCAACAATATACCTTTAACCATCTGAAAAAATGATTACACATAAAATTAAATATAAATTATATAATATAAATTATATAATATAAATTAAAAAAAATAGCTCATTTTATGTATAATATATTTGTTTGTGTATATATATATCAAAATTAGTATAAATACTGTGGTACAAGTCTTTATGGTAAAAGTCTTAATCATATCAAATTTTTTTTGAAAATACTTAAAAATATCTTACGACCCTATAAATATATATATGTATATATAGTACAGCATAATTTTTTAAAATTAATGTATATATATATATATATATATATATATATATATATATATATATCAGTACATAATACTGTAGTATTTTTAAGAAATATTCGTAATAAGGAATGCCTTTCTTGTTTAAGCAAATCAGAAATTATTTAAATTTTTTTATCACATCATAAAATATCTTTCAAAGTCCAAACAATCATTAAAATTTTAATTTAAAATTATTTAAGTATCCAAACAGTACAGTTGCATATTAATATAATAATTACCAGGCAAGATAAAATATATGTAAAATAAAAATTAATTAAAATTATATTAAACATAAAATAGTACTTTTAGGAAAACGACTACACACAATGAAAGCACCTAACAACTAATTATTATTATAAAATATCATACAATCTCAATATTAATTATCGATTAGAATATTAATCATTTGAATCAATTGTTCTCGGATATGAATTTTAATAGGCGTGATTATAATTTTGGCATCTTCATTTAAAAAAATCTTAAAATTTTGGCATTTGTACAATAATTTTGTTACAATCAACATATTAAAAATTATGCGTTAGGAGTAAAATTGATAACAATTATGACATTTTGAAATTTTTGCATATAATAGAATAAAGATTGAAAATAATTGTGATGTTTGAAAATATAGCTTTGCAAGCTAGACTGTGTAATTAAGTATTTATTACCTCAGTAAGTAGCCTCATATAATATTTATTACTAATCTACTTTTAGTAAGTCGTATTTGATTATGATAAGTTGCTTAGTTTTTATATTTTGGAGTAATCAATTAAAAATATTTATCAGATTTGATAGAAAATGGAAACATAAATCATTATATATTTGTCATATTCAATTAAAAATAAGCATTTCATTAAGGTGTTTCATCGAGTTGTTTTAAAAAAATAAAATATAAGGTAAAGAAATTTTATTATTTCTTTCTTTTTTCTAGTAGACATGTATGCTAAGACAATATAAAACAAACTGTACCAATTATATAAAATCATTATACAGAAGGTACACTATAACAAAAAACTATTCTATTTAAAAAAAAAATTAAGATGCAACATAAAAAAAAACTTTAACTTAACATACAAGTTGCTAGTTATTAAAAGTATAACTATAAATTTGATAAAACAGCAAAAATTCTATGTCGATCAATATAAAATTAATTTTACGAAATTTCTTCACAAATCTAAAAAACGTCTGTCATTGGATTGTTAATAATAATGGCGCTCCTTAAAAAATTAAATATGTGTCAAAAATATATTAACAATAATATCTAAAATTTATTTTGATTTAATCAATGATCGATACAGAAAAATAAAATTTAAAATATGTACACATTAAAACAATATTAAAAGTCAAAGTAAAACTTATCGTGTTATGTTTATAAAATCAAGCACTCCTTCGACTAAAATAGTAAAATTTTAAACAAAGACACTAAGACCTGTATGTTATGCTTACCATTGAACAATAAATGTTTTTCGATAATTTATCCCATCATATGCAAAACTCTTTTGAAATCATAATTTCTGCTCATTATTTTTGTTACCGTCTTCGGAGTTCTAACCTGATATTTGTAAAACGATTATTTAGTCGTTTAATTTTTTTTTTATAATTCCAGATGTGTTTCCTATTCATTGGCAGTGACTTCTTGCTTCTCCCATTTGGTCTTGTGTGGATCCAAACCAAATCCGGATTCGTAATTGCCTTTGGAGATAAAGAGTTGCTTGAAATGAGGGATGCAATACAGAACTCCATGATTGTGGGTGTAAGTGTCCATTCTGAAGAAATATAATAATTACTATTTGCGATAGTGTACTATTAATTTTTATACAAGTTATGATAGGTTGGTCTGGTATCCATAGTGTTACGCTAAAAATACGGCCCAGCCAAAGGCCATTAACAATTCTTTTGGGAATTTCTACTTAACAGAAAAGTCACGTTTCATTTGCAACTAATGTTTGTTACATATAACAAAATATTGTTATTGATGAATTTATTTGTTTTTTATTCACTACTTTTCTTACAACAGTCCAGCTATGAACATTTAGCAAATTTGTTAATATTTTATTGATGTGCCAATTCGAATGACAATGAAATGAATTCATAAAATCCAGCACTTAACAATCTCATTGGAATCGGATTTTACTAGATTTAAATCAAATCGTATGAAGCCGGTCGCTTGTCATCCGATTTAATATTCAAATGAAAAGATTACTGAAAGTTTTTGAAAAACGAAATTTTGTATTGGTTTATTAGACAAAAAGATAAAAAAGCTTTTATTATATATTAATACTTAATTTTAAAGTTCATATATTAATTTAACGAACCAAAATTTTAGTTTTATCATAGTGGGTCATCGACACATAACGCATGAGCCCAAAGGGAACAAATCACATATCCTCACCAATCTTCGCCGGGCTCAGAATGTGAAAAGAGGCAAAAAGTCATTGATTTCTTAAAACTTTTAGACTAAAATTCCCTCTTGATAAATATTTCTTTGAGCTATACTATTTATTCCATTTCAATTTCAAGGATGCATTTCAATGACAAGTAATTTTCTAGATTCCAGTTTACATAACTTTGATGTAATTGTTAATAACAGTGTATTATATTTATATATATATATATATATATATATTATATATTTATATTTATATAAGTCAATAAAATTTTATAATAATTTAGTTATATGTAATTTCTCTGAATGAGAAATTTGTTTTCGATATAATATCCGATCTGCCAATTTTATTTTCTCTACGTATTAAGTCACAAATATTATGACCCTACGACAAATAGTTTAATTATAAAAATTCAAAGTTCGAAATTTGTGTCAAAAGTCGCTTTGATGATGTGATGAGTCAAAGTTTAACTTTCGTCGAAGTTTTGTCAGAAGAGGCTGAATCGATTATACAAATTCAAAAGATATCAATAGAAAGTGTTGAACATATCGTTCACGAATATTTGAATGGGTGCCGCGCAAACTCACATTTGACCAAAAGCATAACGAGTTGATGATTTGTAAGAGTATTTGGAGCTGTTCAATCAAAGTAAAACTGAGTTTTTGCATCAATATGTTACCATGGTTATGACCTGCCTTCACCATTACACTCCGGAGTCAAATAGAAAGCCAACCAAGTGGACTAAAAACGATGACGAAAAAAAATGCAAACAATCAGCTGGCAAGGTTATGGCGTCAGTTTTTTGAGATTCGCAAGTAATGATCTTCATGAACTATCTTGAGAAAGATCAGATCATCAACAGTGACTAATGTATAACGTTATTAGAGCATTTGAAGTTAGAAATCGGAAAAACGGCCCCATTTGAAAATAAACCGTGCTGCTTAATCAGGGCAAAGTCGCAAATCCGTAAAAATAGTAGCAAAAAAACATGAATTGGGCTCCGAATTGCTTACCCACTTTTCCCCACTCGTATCTGAAAAGAATGCTCGCTCTGAATTTTTTTTTTGCCAAATGATGAGATGATAGCCGTATTTTGTTGCAAAGTACAAATCGAACTACAAAAATGGTTTCGAAAAGTTCGAAGTTCGACATAAACGGTATATCGTCTTCGAAGAAAACTATGTTGAATAAAAATTGTCAAAAAAAGGATTTCTCTTAGTTATCTTACAGACTTATTGAGTGAAGTGACAGCAATACTAAGAGTCATTAGTACAAATTTTTTTAGCCTTACAGGAAAAACGTTATTCAAAAGGTTGAGTAGCTCTGGTCGCTTTTGAATATAGAGAAGTTATAACAACAAATTTAGTTGCGATAAGATCTGTAAGCTTATATTTGCCCTTATTTAAGGTTGATTCAAATCAGAATTGTTTCATTCAAATTTGAAAATTTTAGAGTCACATCACTAACATATCACTAACATATAAACATATTATGATTTTTTCCTATATAATTACACACCTGATAAAATATAATTGATAGAACTTTATGTTTGTAATGTATTAAGCAGCTTTTGAACTTTTTTCATATCAATTATAATTTTTATCAGTCAATTTAAAAAAACAGTAGTATGACCAATAAATAGGGAAAAAAAGTTTGTGGAAATTTTGCCTCATTTGATAAAACTAATGCTCGGACAAAATGTATCTTTTTCATTACTTTATTATTGTTCTAAATTGTGTTTTAATAATTCAAAAAATGTATTAATTATGTTTTAATATTAAATATAATTCACTTACCTCAATACGGCGTTGCAGTGGACGCATCTGAAGCATTGCTTGTGATAGATTTTGCTGTTGCAATCAATTTTCTCCAGGGGATACACTTTCTTCTCACAAATAGCACAGTATTCGGCACAATTCGTCTGAATCTCCTATTTAATCATCACAAACATAATATTAAATATATAACAAACCACTTTTGTTTCCCATCACCACATACAATTTCATAGATAGTTCAGAAAAAACTACTCCAGTGCTATATCCATTACAATGCGATTTCAATCAATATCATTTTAACATAGAGAAATAAAAGTTAAAAGATTATTATAAATTTATAATTAGATCCATTATAAATAAGATAGATTACAGCTATTTATTTCAAATCTGAACTTTCAGGAACAAAATTTAAGAAAATGATGGATACATTTGGCAGACAAGTCGAATTTATCGAAACTAACGATAAGCAAAAACTTGCAAAACTTAGCAGACATTCAGTTAGTTATTTTAAAACTAATTGAGACAGTATATAGTATACAATTTTTTTATAGACTGATAGAACTTGCTGATAGATCGCTTTCGCTGAATTCATCATTTCATTCATATTTAGCAGAAATTTGCAATAGCATAATATCTAATTTTAAAATCATTGAATAGATACACATTTTATTGATAAATATCTATACAATAATATAATATAAACAAATTATAAACAATTATATCATCTTTGAGGGATTAACGAAACAACATATAAATATATCTATATGCACATCCATATATATGTATATATATATATATATATATATATATATATATATATATATATTATATTATACAAGAGTACAAATCATATAATGAACAATAATCCACAATGACCACAATAATATATTTATATCTTAATATTAATTTTTGAATCAATAAAAATCCATTACAATATTTATTATATAAACGTTTCTTGTTTCTTGTTTTCATCACTGTACTTCGTCTAAATCGATTTTATTTAACAGTTCAAAAGCGAATATAAGCATGATATTTATAAAAAAGTACCATTTATTAATGCACAAATATTTCTGCAACTTATAATCGCTTTTCACAAACCTGTAATAAATCTTTTTCAATTTTTCACCACAGTTTTTTCACAGTCCCAGAAATACACATATAAAAATGTTGCTCATATAAAGCAAATACAACATTTTGGTGCCATATTTATTTTTTTAAATAAACACTTACCTAACGATTTTTTTATTGGAACACATCCAAATAGTTTACGGTGTATTTATATATAATAAATTGGTGTACATCTTGATTGTTTATTTATTAGTTTGGCCGATTGAACTTATTTAAGATAGAATTGACAATAGTTTGGTGAATAATTTAGTCTTGAAGTGGTGCACAGCAAGATGCTTTTTAAAATCTAGACTTACTTATTATAGGAGTTATTGACCAATCAAAGGAGTAGGGGATCACTTGTTCAAACTCTAAAAATTTGTTAATATTGTTTTGGATTAAATTCACAAATAATCTCAAAAATCTTATTTAACCAATGAGGCTGATGTGAATGGCCTTACTCCTTTGAAACCATTAGCCCAATTTTAATTTTCCACCAATATTTATTTCCAAATTTTAGACATCAGACCGAGATATAGTTATGTAAAAAGATTTTGCTTGAATTTAAACCAATTATGGTAAAACAAATTGAACTTTATTCAATTGCATGATGAATATCAATTAAAAAGTCAACAACCACCTGATATATGTAAAATATCAGAACAATCGAAACGTGAGACAATTGGAGAAATGGATTAGTTGCTTTTTGGTTATCAAATGATAGTTACTAAAAACAAAAAAAGCATATCATCAAAATAGTTATGGAATAAACACAGTACAATTTTGTATAATTCTCAATCACCTGATGGATGTATATTGAAATTTAACATCTCAGAAATTATTATCATCAACGAAAACACTTGCCCAGCCTTAAGACATAATCTAATGATATAACATGACATAATAAAGATATGGTTGTGGTGTGGTTCTATTAGAAACTGTTCAACCCTTGGTGTTAATTTTTGTTAGCATCCTTATTGGGCTAATCGGTTCGAGGATTGATTACATCATGTGGAAATATTGTTAAAATTCGAACTGATAAAAAATTCAATTCCAATATCATTTAGTTTCAAAACTTACTAATTTCATAAAGTTGTTGATCCGTCTTCAACGATATCAAAGTAAACTGGAGATATGAAGTCAAAAATGCTGTCTAAAATCTAGACATTTCATGATATGAGAAACGATGAAACAATAGTTCTACAGATCCTGGAAAAAATATCTCCATTTATTGTGCAGATACAAATTCAAAATTTATATCTCAAAGACCAACAAACGATGCAATCAATCCCATATATATATATATAAATAATTTGCAAGTGATGTATAAAATTGTAAAAGTTGCATTGATACACATAGTCCACAAGTAAAACCACACATTTTTCTCAGTAATCAACATTTGTCATTGATGGACAACATGACCTTGACCTTTTGTCAACTTTTTGGTCTGACATCACGATTACTTCTTAGATGGAATTATTACCATTATAATACGTTTTCTTACATTGCATCAAACGGACTATATGTTGTCTTAAATAAGTTTTGTGTTATTCTATATGACCAGTAGAAAAATATAATAGAAATCGAAACTAAAAATATCAGTAAGAACAATTATCTATAAACGTCCATTATCTAGAAACCTCAAAAATATTATAGACAAACTGAAGTCAAACCTTCATATCAAATTTGATCGATTCCATATTGACAACGAGTCAAATCAAAAGATTACTTTGTTGTATTGAGACAACTGAATTTGGATGATATTTAAGTTAGGATATTATTTTACAATTGAAAAAAAAGGCATTCAGTGAGCTTAAAATTTATTCCGTTTGATCTTAAAAAACACCCAATAAATTTGATTGTTATAAGGTTTAGTGAATTGCCGTAATCTTCTCATGAAAATCAAAAGAGAGGAAAAATAAATAGGCACATCTTTGTTGGGTTTAATATAATACGGTTAATATTACTATAGATTACACACAATGGTATGCAAACAATAAACATTTCATTGCCAAAATTTATTCCTAAACACAAGAATACTTATAAAAATTTTAGTATAATTTTAAAGAAAAGAGAAGTTAATAGACTTACGTCTAAAAAGAAAAAGTTATTCCAATAAATATTAGGTATTAAAATGTGTACCCGACAAATTTGATTATCAAAATTTCTAGTGAGTTGTCGCAATCTTTTCACGACAACCAAAAGAGAAAAAATTGTCAGATCCTTTATGGATAGAAAATAATGCGTATATCGTA